ATACCTTGCTGGTCGGCTCTGTTGCTAAGTCGATGCGAACGCTTCTTAATGTCGGGATGCCGGGTTCGATCCCAGCTGCGGGCCATGCGCCTTTCGTTGGTTTCGACAGTGGTATCAAGAAAGCCGACCGTCCAGGAAGCAATGGCAAACTACTGGACGTAAGTTTGCCTAGAAAAACCACACAACAGCCATGGGCTTGTAAAGGATAAGCAACCTAACAACAACATACCTTGCTGGATTTTATTGTCTGAAATTGGTTCATGAAAGTTTTTTTATATTGTTTCGTTTATTTCTTGGTGAACAAGGTTCCAATTTTAACATCACTGTCTAGTGAGTTATTAACCCGTTTGTCCATGTAACCTGAATATGATATTTGTGGTGGGGGGGGGGGGGGGGGGGGGGAATGGGTAAACTGGCTTCCTCGGATATATCGTTTTCAAGCTAAGAATACTAGAGGGATGTCTCGTTTTCCAGCTCAGAATATTAGAGGGATGTCTCGTATTCCATCTCAGAATATTAGAGGGATGTCCCTTTTTCAGATCAAGATATTATGGCCACCCTAGTTTTTATTCCACATTGAAAGCCGTCTACGGAGAACGTCGCAGGGAGCACACACTTCACAGCTCCCGTGACGATCTCTAGTGTTTCATTACTGGAACTACTCATTGTCCGTAGATTTGTTATTAATATAGGCATTTATGGTTGTGTTGAAGCTCCGACAGGTACACAGACAGAGCACTGCTCTTCTACGGCGGGTTTTGTTCCAAACATACCGGTGTCATCTTTCCTTTGGAGTAAACAAGGCAGGTCGAGAGAGGGATCATGATGCTTGGGCAACCTATGGCCTCTAAAGGCCATTGCTTTGTGAAATGGAAAAAGAGGAACTTCCTCATTGCCTATAATTGTGATTCCTATGCCACCTCATAGCAGAATATAACACTATCGTCTGGAAAAATTGAAAGGTGCAAACAATATGTTTGCGTCAGTGTTTTTTTTTTTTTTGGGGGGGGGGGGGAAGAGGGGGAAGGGGCAGTGGGTCTTCCTTTATTTCTGTACCCCTTGTTAGTTCCAGTACAAAGACATTCTAGTTATGTGGTTCTCAGGTTTTCTCTCAGTGTGTTTTATTCAACGCCAGCATTTTTTCTTCACCTCTTGGTCCACTAAAATTTCTTGTTCTTTCCCAAAGCTTTACATTATTGAGTCTATGATACCATCTTATCACTCTATTCTGCACAGGCACCAATGAATGTTTATACTTTATTAGTAATTGCCTTAGTTGTTCTCCATATTTCCGCTCCAAACGAAAGTACTGATTTGAGACTGTAATTAAAAATGGTATGTTGAGTATTAGTTCTAATTTCTTTTGATCTCTACAAATTCTCTAGTACCATGAAAGCTCCTCTTGCCTTTTGTCTTCGTATTTTAATATCTATATCAGTTCTCCCGTCTTTATTTACATTGCTGCCCAAATAGGTATACAACAGCTAGTGTTTATATGGTTTAACGTGCAGTTCTATTTTGGTCAGACATTTTGAACAGCGATGACTGCGAAAAGAAACAAACAATTATATCATTGGTATCTCTTAAAGATTGGTATGTTCTTCTCTTTATTCTTTCTCAAGTCTGATATTATATATTTACTAGAATTATTCTGTGGTTTCTTCTTCTCTTTGCTTGTTCTCAGATCTTATATTGCTTATTCTTCTTCGTCTTCTTCTCTTCCACTATTTACCTCAGCGAAATGTTGGGGGAGAGTATAGTTTGTGCGCGTTTTCCAATGCATTGTACAATTTGGTGTTCATTTCTGCTAGGTTACTCTTGATGGTGTCGTTCCATATCTTTCGTGGTCTTCCCCTTTGCTCTGTGTTAGTTATATTTCTTCAGCGTGGCTCTCTGTGGCAGTTGGTACCAGGGTATTCTCGTCAGGTGGCCAAACCATCTCATCTGTTGTTCTTTAATGAATTGTAAGACTGGTTTCAGTTCTAGTCTTCTTCTAATTTATCATTCTTGATTTGATCTGTTCTTCTCACACCGGCAGCTCTCCTAAGACATCTCATCTCTGTTGTTACGATCTTCCGCTCATTAGTTGTAGTAAGGGTCCGTGTTTGGCAGTGGTAGCATGATGTCGGCCGAAAAACAGTCCTTATGAGATTTGCTTTGGTTGACAGAGTATCTTTCTATGGATCAGAAGCGGTATTAAGTGTTTTTATATGCAGATATATTTTCTGTATACTAGGATTATTCCGTGGGGTGTTTTTTTTTTTTCTTCGCTGATTCTTAAATCTTATATTGTATATCCATCAGTATTACACCGTGATTACTTATTCTGTATCATGAACTCCAATCTAATATTAGATATTTATCAATATCTTTTTTTTTTTTTTTTTTTTTTTTTTTTTTTTTTTTTTGAGTGTGTCAAATCTTATTATATACGAGGTCAATAAATAGGTCACAAATGGTTTGTATGGTAAAAACTTGAAAACCGCTTTTTTTCACATACCTTTATTTTTCAACAGAATTGCCACGAACTTTGATGTATTTGTCCAATCGTTTTATCAGTCCTCCAAAACTACTGCATAGAACTGCGTGCTCTGTTTTCTAAACCACATTTTCACTTCACATATAACTTCTGAGTCATTCATGAATTGTCTCCCGCCAAGGTGGGTTTTTGGCCGACCAAAAAACCAAGTGAGCATACTATTAAAGCTGCTACAAGATCAACCGTTACTCGCCGGTCACCCCTATTTGTTAACAACCATAGAGGGTCCTTGAGAAAAATGCTTCTCCCAGCTATGCACTGCTTTGCGGGATAAACATTTGTCAGTATAAACAGGAAGCATTTTTTTATGAATATCCTTTACTGGCAAGCCCCTTTGTTTGAGGGTACACTAAGTAAGTACAGTCGCCATTTTGTTTCTGCGTTGCGCCTGTGCATGCAACACCTAGCGTCACTTAACTAACGAAGACATAAGGTTGATGTTGCTGTCACCTAATGACACTTTTAGAAGCCACCAACTACATTTTCCTGTCATCCCATAACCATTTGTAACTAATTTATTGACTGTCCCTAGTATTTGCCAGCATTAACCCTTGATTTGTCTTCTCTTTGCTCTTTTTCAAAACTTAAATATTTACCAGGATTACTTCATGATTTCGTTTTATCTTTGCTCTTTCTGGAATCTCTAATTATTTACTTAGAACATTCCATGATATCTCTTGTCTTTGCTATTCCTAAGACCTTATATTATCTTAAGGATTATCCCATGATTTCTTCAGTAGTTCCTAATTTATCCTGGTGGACAGAGTTCATTCCGTTCCCATGCCCAGACGATCCCATGAGATGTTCCCCCTGATGTCCACAGATTGAGACAGTCTATTTCTGTATCACTTCCATGATGACCTTCTGGAACACTCTGGGTCACTCTTGGAGTCGCCAACTCTCCCTTTTTGAGCTTGAACGTTATCCATAGTGGCCATTTTTTGCTCATTTCCTGTACAGAAGGAAAATGTGATGAGAATATAGTGCGGCCTGCAGACGATAGCAAAGGACAGGATGACTGAGTCGGTTGAGGGCCTTTTCTCCTTGTGAAGGGAAGGTGGGGCAAAGTACAGAAAAAAAGAAGAGCGTGGGAAAGATTCTTTCTTGGGGTTGTCTGCAGATGACTGCGTTTCAGTTCTCTCTTTTCTCATCATATCGGTAACTTTTCTTGTTCATTGTTTTAAAAAATAACGTAAGTAAGAAACTATATTGTACTGACCTTAAATGATGACTCCAATATCCTTTTGTTTTCATTTTGCATGTCAACAATCAGTCTAAACGGAAAAAAATCTACAAGGCTGAAAATAACTGGCCTAAGAAAAATTAACGCTTCAGTGAACATGATATTGTGAGTTCAAAAGTTTGGATTTGATTTGATTCAAGAACCGACATCGATAAACGGTTTCAGAACGGACATGTGAAACATGGCGAATCGTTTCTCAAACCGGATGTGAACAGCTCGAGGAAGAAGAAGGTTGAGGAGGACAAGTCGGGAGATTCTTCCGAGACCCAGAGTTTAAAAAGCAGCCATGGATGTGTGCCAGGTTTGAAAAAGAACCCGCTGAAGATGCTTAAAAAACTGACCAAGTTTGATAAGTCAAAAAGAAAGTCAGATTTCAGGTAAGGGAAAAAATATGTGAAATTTGACCCCTAACTCCTGTCGATATAGTTTATAGTTTAAGTCGGGGCAAGTTTTTACCAATAGTTAGCTGTTGCATTTTCCTCCATATGCAGACTGAAAGAAAATAGTTCCAACAAACAGCTACTAGATTGAGTACATGGCGCGACACTCTGAGCTGTGGATTTTCTATGGAATGCTTTTCCATTTTCCTCAAAGTGGTTTGTTTTGCGAACTGCAAATTGATAATATGGCCAGTGACTTATTGCCAGAGAACTTTTGGTGCCTTATGCAACTAAATGCGTGTGCAGCTACTTATCTATTGTAACTGCTTTTTTATAGCAACATTTATAGTGTCGGACTGTTTGAGTTGGCACATTTGACTACTACCATTTGCATTTAACGCATGCGTAGGCGGTTGAATTAGCTAAGACTGCAGTCTGTGCCATGTTGTCCTCACAAGAGACTGTGATGGACATTCATTGTAGTTTTCGTTGGCACAGGAACAGAGCAACTGTGGGATGATCCGTTTGCCATGAAGTTGGAACTATGATTATCTGATTGCCTACAAATATTTGCCGGACTTCAAATTCCAATGCTGACTATTTGGAAGTGAGCTAGCAGGAAGCGACAAAGGAATAACAAGTAGGCTGAGACGATGAAAGAAATGTGGTGAGGATAATAAGTAATTTCCCGCTGAACTGCATAAATAGGAACAAATAAAAACAAGACAAAGTACCTTTTTGTGCAGGAACTATGACATATTATACATGGCTAGGGCGATAAATATGCGACAACTACAAAATATAACTGCATATGTAGTGCCTAGTCAGACCAGGTGCACAAACTATAAGTCCTATTCTGAATCCAGCAATTGGAATATAATAATTACATTCAACATCTATTCATTTTCTCGAATATAAAACTAGCGTGCTTCGCAGGTAACAATACATTAACAATCAAAAACTTGTTCGAGAGACCATGCGCTAATGAAATCTAGATCTAACACAATCTGCCTATTAAATGAACCGTCAGACACGAAACTAGTGAAAAAAAAATCCATCTCTTTCCACTCAACCCGCCGTACCTACGTCGCGTTGAGAACACTGTACAGTTCTGCAACGACAAGAGGACTACATGTCCTTAGGCTGACTGGCGAGACCCAAGAGCTGCTCTTGACCTTATATCATTTTTTCGACTCCCTGAATACTTCCGGAGAGCCGCGATTTGCAAAAGTGCCAGTTTCAGTTCGCGCGAAACTTCTGTTTCATCAGCCTAACTGTAGTCAGTCCATATTTACGTCGTTTGGTTCAAGTCTGGAATCTTCCGCAGGTCTGAGTTTTCCGTGGTGACAGTTGACAGACTACCACAAGTATTCGTTGTGAAGTACCTGGGCCAACGAGACGTCACTGGCGCCAGCGGCCTGCACCACGTCCGCAAACCGGTAGATGAGATGGTTCTGAAGATCCGGACCAAACTTGATGCCAAAGAAGATGTAAATATTCTCCACTTTTTTTTTTCATTTCCTTCTGTCTGTCAGTCTGTCTTTAGGTGTGTCGGTTAGTTTATTTCTCTTTATCTCGGCGCCTGCGAGATTTTGTGATGAATTCCCAGAAAGTGTCATTGTATAGGGGAGTTAGTGTTAAGGTTATTGTTAGTCGGTGTTGATTATTTGCCGTCCTTTTTAGGTTGAAATTTTTCGTTATTTGAAGCCCCATATGGCTCTTGCCAGGGGCCGCAATATAGCCAGGCCATAAATATAGTCAATTGGCTGAACGCGGTTTCCGGGACCTCTTCACGGTGATCCTCATCCACATGGTGGCACTTTGTGTCATCGGGTGTTTATCGCTTGTGTGTTGTCCTGGTGGGGTAGAAAGTCAGTCAGTCAGTCAGTGTCTATTTCACACAAAGGAACCACGGCCAGCTCCCGATTTATAAATCTGGAGCTGGCCGTGGAAGGAACAAACGAAAGTTACGAAGTAAAAGTAAACGACCCTTTTCCACACCTTTCAGGCGTATTGGGAATATAGGGCTAGACCTATATTTTATAGACCAATGGCAAAAGATGGGTATGGGGTCAGCATCGCGCCAGCTGCCTTTACTTCCCAGGGCTGAACCTGGTACCCACTCAAGGCTAGGTCGACATGGGACGCAATAAACGCTGAAAACAGCCAACACATTGTTAAGTGTTCATTTATAGATCATCATCATCGCACATCGGACATGACCATAAGAGCTCCGATCTCCTCCTGGGTATGTCTCCAAGTGTTTTACTGTCTCGCAGCTCCAATTGGTATAACTACTAGAAGCAGTCAATCAGTGAAAAATCATTTTCCACAAAACTGAAAGCCTCGCAACGTTTAGTCTCTCAAATGGCATTGATGATGTCTTTCCTGTCCATAGAGGGCCCATTGCTTATAGTCGCACTGCCAGCCAGAGCTGGCTGCTGCTGCTGCTCCTCCTGCTACTACTACTCCTCCTCCTCCTCCTACTACTACTACTACTACTACTACTACTACTACTACTACTCCTCCTCCTACTACTACTACTACTACTACTACTACTACTACTACTACTACTACTACTACTACTACTACTACTACTACTACTACTATACTACAATCACTATTACTACCACTACTACTACTACTACTACTACTACTACTACTACTACTACTACAACTACTACTACTACCACCACCACCACTACTACTACTATACTACTACTATTACTACTACTACTCCTCCTCCTCCTCTCCTCCTACTACTACTACTACTACTACTACTACTACTACTACTACTACTACTACTACTACTACTACTACTCCTCCTCCTCCTACTACTACTACTACTACTACTACTACTACTACTACTACTACTACTACTACTCCTCCTCCTCCTACTACTACTACTACTACTACTACTACTACTACTACTACTACTACTACTACTACTACTATTACTACTATTACTACTACTACTACTACTACTATTACTACTACTACTACTATTACTACTACTACTACTATTACTACTACTACTACTATTACTACTACTACTACTATTACTACTACTACTACTATTACTACTACTACTATTACTACTACTACTACTATTACTACTACTACTACTACTACTACTACTACTATTACTACTACTACTACTATTACTACTACTACTACTATTACTACTACTACTACTATTACTACTACTACTACTATTACTACTACTACTACTCCTCCTCCTCCTCCTCCTACTACTACTACTACTACTACTACTACTACTCCTCCTCCTCCTCCTACTACTACTACTACTACTACTACTACTACTACTACTACTCCTCCTCCTCCTCCTCCTACTACTACTACTACTACTACTACTACTACTACTACTACTACTACTACTACTACTATTACTACTATTACTACTACTACTACTACTACTATTACTACTACTACTACTATTACTACTACTACTACTATTACTACTACTACTACTATTACTACTACTACTACTATTACTACTACTACTACTATTACTACTACTACTACTATTACTACTACTACTACTATTACTACTACTACTACTATTAATACTACTACTACTACTATTACTACTACTACTACGCTCACCTACTGATCCGAAGGTCGTGGGTTCAGCAAAAAAAAGGACCTTAGTTCTAAGTCGACCCAGCCTTTCAAAGGTACTGTAAAGTCCTGGGAAGTAAAGGTGGCAGCTGTGATACTGACAACATCACACACCAAGTACCGATTAGTCTATAAAATATAATCTTGCCATATATGCCCAAAACGGCTCAGGGCGTAAAAAGGGGCCACCACCACGACCACAACCACCACTATTAGTACTAATACTACTACCACCACGACCACCAACACCACCATCACCACCACTACCACTAATACTATTAATACGACCGCCACCACTACTACTATCACTACCACTACTACTATTAATACGACCGCCACCACTACTACTATCACTTCTTCTTCTTCTTCGCGTTCACCAGCTGTAAACTCTGGCGGAAGGTTCTGGTTGCTCGCCCACTACTGAACTGCAGTCCTGCGTGTGCATCAGTTTTACAGATCTCCTTCTCTTGAATACAGACTGTTGGTTCCTTGCCTCTCCGACTTCAAAGGAAGCTCCCTAATTAGTCGACTCTTACGACATGCTTTTGGGGAGGCAGTGGGTCTATTCTTGTTTTCCCCACAATGGGGCCCCGCAACCCACACGGGGAACTACTACCACGACCACTACTACCATTTCCACTACTAATATCACTACTACTACTGCTACTATGGTCTTACATTAAAATTAGACCTACTGAGACCCCTCTGCTGACCTTTAACACTATCTGTTTAGTGTCCCTCCCCCTGCCCTTTCCCCTTAACCACCGAATGTTTTCTTCGTGCCAGCACCGCTTCCACCCATGAATCTGTCTGCCTGCCTGTCTGACACCACTCCAATTAAATACGTTTTGATCTGTCTAGATTTTGTTGTGTGCCTGTGGAAATTGATAGAAACTGTATATTTTTGGTCACTCGAATTATATATCTACTACGTTAAATAATTTGTTCTTGTTTCTATTTCAGCTTAACCTCCCCTTAATTTACGTCATCATTTCACCAAAAGGCCTCGATTTGCGGGAACACCAGTCCAACAAGGTGAAGGGCACAGCCCCGCTTGGGGTCATCCCAATCAACTTCATCTCCTACGGTGTACAGGACATCAAATACTGGAAGATATTCACCTGTATAGTCATCAAAGCTTTGTCATGGCAGTCAAAGTCGGCCACTTGTCACGCCTTCCTTTGTGACTCCCCACATAGTGGCCGCAAGATGGCTTTGGCTCTGGGAGCTGCTTTTAATATTTACTCCAAGAAACTGGCGACTGATGGGGCTGGTAGTAATTTCCAGGTGGAGCTGCGTCCTCCTGATGAACTGGCTGATGAGATGCAGGAGTATGATGCGTAGGATGTTGTTCTGTGTTCTTCAGTCGGTAATTCGCCAGGAAGCGAGTTGGATTTTTCTGTCACAACTGACTCATGCTCCTGGGTCGATTCGGCTTAGATAGGTAATGAACAGGCAGACAGATTAGCTGGATCTGCGCCACTAGGTGGTGAACTGATACATGACAAGGCAGATGTGGTCCGGGCCTTTTGGGAACAAGCAATGGAATCAGTAGAGAAAGAAGATAATTATGGCCTGGAGAGAATGAGACACCTCGGTGTAACCAGAGGGTTTGACCGGCTCACTACACTCAGAGAAAAGTCCAGACGGACATATAACCAGATTGTGACCAGTACGATCAGTATTAGAACTCTGCTCTGGCTGCTGGAGATGAGGACAAAGCATGCATGGGAATACCCCGAGTGCTGTGATGTAAATTCTTGACTCAACCCAACTCACCTCATTCAGCTTAGAATGGGTACCAGGTACAGTTCTAGTGGCCTACCAATATCTGCTTAATCATGTCGCAAATACTACGGACAAAGGAGAGAAAAGTAGTGATATTCTAAAAGATCAGATCAGCAAGGAAGATTGGCTAGTAAACGGCATCTTGTCTTGGAAACTGAATCGGTTTGGCGGACTGGGAAAAATATTAGCAGAAGTCGTGGTACCCGGGAACATTGGAGAACGAGAAGACCAACAAGACGTTGACACAAGATACAAATGACTCCATAAGAAGGAAAGTGCCGAAGGCTGGACGCCTGACAGGAGGACGAGTTTTTCTTCAAGGCAGGCGTGGATAAGAGCGGTTTTGAACAACGGATCAAAATTTTCGCACATGGGTGCTCCGTTCTTCTTCTAACTCAAGTCTGAGTCCGAATAAGCTCAGCACAGTGCACAGGCTCTGTAACACCGGCGAGGATTTCCTGAAATACTTTGGGTAGATTTTTAACTCTAAATTTTGTCCGGTCAGCGCCGCAAGGCTACTCTTTTCGATTTCCAAATGCCAAGAGATTTTTTTTTTCTGTGTGCAACCATGCACACGGGCGTCCGATCTCACAACCCAGTGACCAGGGGGAAATGCTAGAAGTCCAAATTCACGTGAAAAAATCCCAGCCCTTACCGGGGATTGAACCCGGAACATCTAGCACTCGAGGCGGATACCATGCCTCGAGACCACGCAGGATAAGAGCGGCGTTCTGCAAAGGAACTAAAACATGATGATGTATCATGTAGCGGCTACAAAATTCCGACATTGCACTGTTGCGTAGCTTCTAAGCAGCAGAAGATGTCTCTTGAGCTACAAACTGTAATTCAACAACTAATTTTATTTATATATAATTGTGGGGGCTTTATTATTATCCTACCCATAGGCAACGTCACAGGACAGTCTAACATTTTAGTGACTGGGTTACCCGGCTTTCTGATGCTTTTAGCGACCCCATAACATCTAGAATTGGCCCTAACCCCAACACACCTACTTCCCACGAGAGAGTGCAGCCTAGGTCCCACGACTGCATGCAGCCTAGGTCCCACGACTGCAAGCATCATACCTAACACCCCCTGAAATATCAGACTGTCCTTTGACCTGTGGATTTCCACTGTTTGGGGTAAGATATTGATAAAGCACTCATTTTTGGTGTGTGTGTTAGTTACCTGGTGGTCCACAAAACCTTCCCCCCGTAAGCGGTTGAAGATCACTGGTGGGGATCACTTTTTCTTCTTCTTTCGTTCGCCTGAAATAAGTTGTCTATATCAGCAGTTTTGTCTCTTGTATAAATTTCACTGTCGTTGTTAGTTCCTTCAGTGGTCCATAGAGTTGACGTTCCACTGTTGTTCTTTCTGGCCAAAAGGTTTGCCTAAATGTGTCAAATTCGGTGCAGTCCTGGAGTACATGCTCTGCTGTCTGGGGCACCTTTCCACAGGTGCACATGGCTGATAAACTTGGTGTGATGAACTGGTGGGGATTAATTGTGCAATTACGAGAGCAGTGGCCACCTAAACTTGACTACATGTTACTTGCTAACCGTTTTGTGGTGCCCCAATAGATCTGTGCTGTACAGCTGAACCGTTTAGGGGGATTTCTTGGATTTGTACCTGTTTGATTCTCATTTTTGAGATGTGTATGCTATAGAATGCAAATAATGAGAGTGGGAATCTTTGAAAACCTATCTCTAGAAAATTAGGGAACAATTCAGAGAATATGATTTCACAACCAGGAGTGGGTGTCCGGATACAGATTACAGTGACGGTAAAAAACAGGAATACCAACGAAATCAGCGTTCTTCTAGACATGATGGATCCGCAGAGTTGCCAGAAGATGAACTTCTCACTAAAACCGAAAAGTTAAAGGTGGAAACGTTGCTCCCTTCTTCGGGCACTAACCTTTGAGCTGACAATACGTGCAGAGGCTTATTCGCATATTCACCAACCATTGCTTCTGATGTGTAAAAATCTGGATAACAGCTATCACGGAGATCTCAATTATAATGACCTTTAAAATGAATGTGAGTACCGCATACACTACATGGCTGTTAATGAAAATTATGAGACTCTCACTGCACTGTACATAAAAGTTAATTTGGACAATGAGAAATCTGTTTTCCCCAATGTTGAAATTGCCATTGTAAATGGCGGTCATCATCATCATCATCAGGTGCCTGCCACCTGGCGTAGGCTTTCATGCATCTCCACAGATCTCGGTCTTTGGAGCTTTGGATGAGTTCAAGGTATAATATTCCTCCCTGCCACTGTCTCAAGCCATGCACCAAGCTGGTAACCAAGTGTATTTTCCCTGTCGATGAATGGAAAGGACATGCACTGATACAACTGAACTATTTGACCAGAGTCTTTATCAACGGAATTGGTAGATTTTGAAGACGTTGGACGAAAGGTTACACATTGTATTTGTAATCGCCTTTTCCATTCCTTCTATTAACTTTGTTCTTGTAATTAGTTTCTTTTTGACTTTTGTGTCTTGAAAAGTGAGGTTTCAGTTCTCAAGCAGCAGTTAGCTAGAAAACTGATGTATCAATTTTAAATAAAACGTATAAAAATTGAAAATGTGTAAATGAGTTTTAAAAAAATGATGAAGATGTTTTTTTTTTTTTTCAAAACGATTATTTTGTTGTTCCTTTCATAGAAAGAGCTTTTAAGTTCTTTATAGTATTAATTCCTGTTTTGGCGTCAGCTTGACAATATTGCACCTGCCAACTTTTTAAAAAAACTTATTAAAAATAGAATTAGGTATGTAACTTATTTTAAATATCAAACTTAAGTGTTTTTTTTTTTTTTTTTTTTATTTAAGAACTATTGTATATAACAGACTGTGGTGACTCTAGGTATACAACAATTGTTGCAATTATAAAACAACAACAACAAAAAACGTGTGATCCTCTGTTATAAAGAGTGAAACTGACTTCTAGTAATCTGGGCTTTTTTATTCTGGAGGGCACAAGCAGTACAAGCGCCTTTTCAGGTATGCTTTCTTTTTATCACTGTTATAATAACCACTTTGTAGTGAGTACCGGCACCTTTTTTACTAGGACAAAAAAAAAGTCCTGCTAGTCATCAATTTTTTTGTTTAAATATAGCGCTAGATTTGAGACTTCTGGGAAAGAACGGAGCAGAGAATCAATAAACAGGCACAAACCCACAAATGAAGGTTGATAAAAGAGGCCAAAGGTGCAGAACTGGATTCCATCCATGATTTTGAATTGACTACACGGGATAGAACGGAACTGAGAAAGAGACTTTGAGCCTTCTTCGACATGCCTTGGCACAGCAAAACAAATAATGAGTGAAAAAATGAGTTGTTAATAAACCGCTCAGTGTGTGTGTGTGTGTATGTGTGTGTGTGTGTGTGTGTGATGGTCTGACAGCCCGTTCTGGAAGACCATTCTACCTATGAGACATTTCTGCTGCAATTAATGATGTTGCTTCCAATTATCTATAAATCGAGGATGTGTCGAAATACTGTAATGTGTCAACTGATAGACTCACTGTTAACTCCTCCTAGTAAATATTTAAAACGTTTGCAAACCACGATCTTTATGCAAACCTACTACTATTTACCTACATCGTCATCTCATCTTTGGCTACCTATGTTGTTTACTGCAGACTCACTACCATTTGTGTAAACAATATCTTATCCACTTCTCTGATGGGACAGCTTACAGCATTCAGCAGTCATAATAAGCCTTAAAAAAAATCCTATAAAAAGCCTATTCATCCCCACCCAATGCAACCGGTGCTAGCTATAATTTGTGGTGCCTGACATTCAACTGCCACCAGGACCGCATAAGGAGCGTTTGACACCCGGTGACACAAAGTGCCACCAGTTGAATGAGAATCACGCCCGGCTCTCTAGCGTAGTTGGCTAAACCGGATTGCGCGGAGACCGGGTGACGAACTTCTTGTGATCCGGGTTCACTCCCAGGGTTAGGCAGAAAAGCCACATTTCTCCCAGATTTACGGTATTTACAATGGAATCAAGGCCGAAAGGTTGCGATATCCATAATACCGAGCCTAAGGGTTAACAACTCATGGCTTCTGGATACTAAAACAAACAAACACCAAAACTGGCACAAGGCGATTTCCATATTTTTGACAAACCAGAGCAAGTCATCATTCTACTTCTTAGAACAGGACACAGTCGACTATGCATCCACATGTACACATAATTTAAAATCGGTGAACCAGCCATGTGCACATCTGAACTGGCACCTGAGATAACAAACTGCATCTTTCAAGGCTGTCCCAAACTGAAAGTTTCCAGACAAAACTTCTGGTCAAGAGAGACACTTGTGGAAGCCAAACTGTACGTGCCGCTAAATGAATTACAAAAGACGGTGAAGTTCATACTAGAGACAGCTTTGCAGATATAGATTATTTATTTCAAGGGAACGAAAGAAGAAGGAGAAGAAGTTTGGCTTCAATGTTTGTTTCCGTCAGGAGTAAGTAACCGCGTTTTTAATTATTGAAAAAAAAAATGCCGATGTTTTGGCGCATCTCCAAATTTTTCA